AAAGCGTGCTTCAAGTTGCTGCGGCACGTGACCCGGATGACTTAAAGCTATTTACCAGGTGAGTCTTGAATAATGTTCAACGCTCTGCATAAGGCGCAGTCAGCGCAAACTGCGCTAACCATGGAAAAGGATTTATTTTTAAGGCGAGGAACTAAGGAGAGGCCACAGAATGACGTTTAAGATAGGGTCTCTCGCGCTTTGAAGAAAGGAAGATTTCAGCGCGATTCTTCAGCGTTTAACGTCAAGGGCGGAAATTGATTCTCATCGCCCCCGGTTAAGGAGTGAAATCTGACCAATCATTAAAAGAATAAGTAAGCTGTTTGTGAGGAGGGTACTAGTTTCTAAAGAAATAGTGGTACTGTGTCGTGGGAAGTATAACATGTTAATTTGGTTTTACCGGCTGAGTTGATCATGTAATTTGGCTGCCGTAAAGAGTTTTTAAAGCTGACGTTTCGAGCGATAGCCCTTCGTCAGAGCGATGAGCTAATGCTGACGAAGGGCTAACGCTCCAAACGTCAGCTTTAGAGATAACACCAAATTATCCTTTTTGGGAGAAGAACAAGTGGTAATTTCATCAACTATCGCCCTGCAGACACTTACTTTACATGGCAGCCATAATACTACTTGATGACAGAGCGTTACATCAGAAATGATCGTGTTGAATGGCACCCACCATTGCTAATTTCTGCTCTTACTAAAAACCCATGGGGTGTCCGTCAAGAATGTCAAGCAATTTTACAAAAAGTGTGAAACGTTCGCTGACGTTTTGCTTTTATCCTTTTATCTTTTAAAACAGACTGATTCCCTACTTTCGGGGAAACCATCACCTGGAAGAAGTAATGTATTACGAGAATTTGACAAGATCTCAGCTATTAACACTGATCGATAAGTTCAGAGATGTCTTGTTTTTGTGTCAGCATGAAGACCCAGTGACCCTTTACTTCTACAATAGATAACACGTCACACTGAAACAACCCTTGAACTCCCAGGATCTGATTAATTCTCCCCTCTGCTCTACACATTTCTTTGTAAATAAGTCACAGGAATTTGGTGTTAGATCAGGACCACCGCCCTCTACCTGATAAGTTTGAATATTCTCAATACATGTTGGCTGAACAATGTATGGACAACATAGAGAGAAGTTGCATGTTAATCACTGCTGGGAGTTAAAGGATCAACCAGTGAGAAAATATAGTTAGGTTTTTCTATCCCTAGCGAACCCCTTGCAATAACTGACAGATACAGTTTTTCGCTCAACTGACCGGCGAAATTAGAGTTTATCAGGTATTTTTTCGCTTGCGAAAAGGCTCTAACTAGCGACAAGGTATGAGTGGCGAAGCAGACTTACCCCGCGCATGAGACCAGACCCGAGACCCGCGGAATTCGCCGCTAGGGTTAAAGTTAGACCCTAAGCGCTAACATTGGCAGAATGACTGACGGATGAACTGAAAAAGGTGAACAATTGCCCATATTTTAAAATTTCAGTCAAGACAAAGTTCCCGTATTATTTAGACTTTCGAAAAAGCAGCAGTGAAAACGTTGAGGTCTAGGGAGAGAGGAAAAGATTGAGGCCCTTCCGCCGCTCGCTCGCTCGCTCGCTTCTTCCATGGCTCCTTTTAGCCATTTAACAAGGCTGAAAATTTTGCTTCGATAGAACAAATATCAGAAGATGCAGATTCCAATAAGCATCAATGTTATCAGCTTGGAAAAGGTTTCCTTTTTAGAAATCGAAAACAAAATACTGTATGGAATCAGTAAGTTGGAAAGAAGAGAGAAATAATTTTCTCTCGCAAATGTACGAATGTAATTGAAAATATTTCATGAAATGTAATTAGGTTAAGGTCAAGTAAATTAGGATGAATTAAAATTGTGAGAATTTCTGTAGGACTTCATTCTTAAATAGCAGTCCTGTAATATTCCTTTCTAACCTGTACTCATACCCTCGATCCATTTATGCGTGCCTTCGTTAGCCTATCCGCTTGTCCCCCTTCAGTACTGTTGAAGACTACTATTGCCTTTCTTATAGTCCAACGAGCGGGAGGGAAAACAGAACGTATAATTGTTGAGTGAACGAAAATTTAGCCGAGTAGATCCTGTCCTTATACCAGTCACTTATATTTAACATCTCTCCCGTCATTTCATGAAATAAAGAATTAGAAAACGTCATTTCTGAGAACACAAAGTTGGTTTTAATCTACAGGTGTTGAGTTTAATAACTAAAATCCAGGACAGAATTTAATACACCACCGTTTATGGGGTAGCGCGCCACTCCTCTATCCGTTTTATTATTCCTGCCTGTGAGAGTCGATAGAAAAAAATGGGAAAAAAACGCAAAAATAACAAATAAACAGGAATAAATACAGAAGTAAACAACAAAACAGCAAGTAAACTTTCCACTCTTTTATTTTAATAATTTAGACAATTCTAATCTAAAATGAAAAACCTCAAGATAGCCAAACCTGAAAAACGTGGTCCTACCTTTCCACCAGTAATTTGAATATGGTTGGAAATTTCCGCCAGAGTAAGCTAAGTGCACATGAATTATTAAATCACCAACCCTACCTTGCAATGTGCACTTCCGTAATAATTCTTAAGTATGTAAGAAATCACTAGGTACTTAGATATGACCTTAGCTGCTACGATGTGAAGAAATCTAATGTGACCTATTGGAAACTCCAGAAGATTTACTTGATTTTCATCCTAACAAGTTTTCTAATTGCCTGACAGACGTTTCTCACGAACTAACAAATCAATGGAATTGGAGTTGGAGGTTGGGTGGGGCAGGAGGGGGTCTTATGACTTCTGAAGTTTTCAAGAGATCAGTGGCACATCCAATTACAAAATTACACAATGGACATCACTAAATCAAACAAAAAAGTTTTCAAAATAACTTGATATTTTGTAACTTACAAGTCAAGCTCCGCTCTTAAGAGCAATTGTTTAGTCAAACGGAATCTGCAAACCGCACCTACCTTTCTATCTCCCAAAATTTTGCTATGCTCCTAAGAGTGACATTTATTTAATAAACGTTTATCATCTACACGAACTTTCTAGATACCTAGAGTTTCCACCAGCCCGTCATGAAATACCTCTCAGTAAGGAGAAAAAAATGACACTCAAATACTTACCAGTTGATGTGACTGGTGGGCTTTGATAACTCGTGGCTGTGGCCGTTGAAAGAAGTGGTTTGAAGTCAGCACCCACAGGGCCAGATGAAGCACTGGATTTTGCAGCTCCATTTACATTCTTATCAGAGAAAAAAAAAAAGAGGATAACTTTTTCAAAAAGATTTAGAGAGAGAGCCTTATTAAATTGTATAGGAATGAGTTGTACCATCTAGTGTACTAGTAGAGAGTAGGTTTGTAAGATACAGGTCATGGAAGAAAAAAGGACAAAGCCATAGTAGAGACGAACCATTCAGTAGGGGAAAATGAAACAGCTACTGATCAACAAATTAATGAAATATCAAAAAGGTGTACCTCCTCTTAAAAGTGTTAAATTACTTTTCAGAAAGCAAAATGTTGAGATTTCTCTGAAATTTAATTCACTCACTCTGACCAGTAGTTAAATAAGTAATGCTTTTCTGCAGTTTGTATTTATATGTCCTTTGAACATGGGTCTTTATTTCATCCATCAATGCAAACTTGTGAGAGTTTACTTTTACAAATGCACAAGTAGTACTTAAGACTACAAGTTCTGTTCATGTACTTACTGTAAGAGAAGGGAAAGGAGACAGTCCCTGTTGGAAGAAAAAAAAGAGAACGTTTCTCTTATTGGCGGAGTTTGTGGTGCTGAACATGTTGGTTGGTGTGGTTGTTGAAAACTTTCAGAAGTGTCGCGACATTATAGAAAAAGATCGCCAAGCTGAGAAAGAAAAAAAGAGCACAAAGAAACTTCAGTCAGGCGTGGTGTTTTAACTTTTACTGTATGCAATCAGGCATTTTCATAATTGTCTTGTTAAATAGAAAATATTTTATTTAGCTGTAGAGAATATTACGCTTTTTGAGCTGACTTCTGAATTGAATCTTGACCCACTTATGCCTACTTTTTCTCACAGAGGCGGACGAGTTTCCACAACCTCGATGGTTTTTTCACCGAATTTGCACTCATGGCTACTTTGATCTCGATATCTCGGCTGTTTTATTCCTGAATGTCATTTGTATGGCCATGGGGCTATTACGGTTATTCTTTTACGACAGAGCTTGTTGTACCGGGCCCAGTTTAGTGATATCGTCTCGTTCATTTCCACCGCTCTCATCATGTTGGCATTACAATTGGATTTATCAGTTTCATTAACATTATATTCAAAGTCATTTCTTTTTTTTCATGGTAAGAAGTCGTTCCAGAGGCGCTCGCAAACATTAGATACATGTAAAGGAAAATTTCAAATTCGCAGTTGCGTCGAGTTCGAGCACGAAACGTGCTAACAGCTACTATGGAAAAACGAAATAGTTGTTGTTGTAATTGTTTTTGATCGATAATATCTTGTCACTGAGAAACATGAGGTTGATTTCTTTTTTTTTTCTTTTAACAGGATTTAATTAACAAGAAACCTTGGACACATTTCTTATCCCATTCCAGGCTGCGCTGCACTGGAACACATCGCTCCCATCTACTTCGCCATATTCGTTCTGGCGACACTGTTCGTTCTTTTGAACGTAGTGGTAGCTGTTCTGATGAAGCACTTGGCGATGCTAAGGAGGAAAGTTTTACAGCGTCTAGAGATGGGTCAGATGATGTGTTGGTAATGCAAACACATCCAGGGAGAATCTTCTAAAGATCACGAGTATCGTTTGGTTCCTTCCAGTACGAACAGAAAGACAGAATCGAACAATAACCCTATGGTTATGGTTCCAGTCGTTGGTTTTGTGAGGCAATCGAATGGTTCCGATAGCAGCTTAAGTTTCATTGGCCATGTTCAACCTGAAGGTGCAAGTAGTCATTGGCTTCCAGCGATCAATCAAACAAAACCCGAGCATAACGAGAGCCTCGCTTCAATACCACTCCCACCGATCGGAAATCGAAGATTCATCGCTGTCTGAGATGTGGAGACCAGAGAACGACAAACCCATCAGCAAAAGGATGGATGGTCAGATGTCTCCACTGGCTCCCATCTACGTCATGAGCGAGGACAGCGACTTGTACGATAGAAACATGGAGGTCGATCACGATCACAGCAGCGTTTAAACCGGCTGAAATATCTCCAAATCAAAAGGATATGTACGCTTACCTTCACCTCAATCAAACAGTGAGGATGAAGGGAAAAAGAATAAATTACAAGTCAGAAAGCCTCACCACAAATCAGAATCCCCAAGAGGGAAGACTCACAAAAAAGAGCCTAAAACGTCCATCGTGTCACCCAAACTGGAGCGGTTTTCCCTCATTAGTGA